AAAGTGATCAAATATAAGTGTATTGTTCTTTTCTTCTCTGTATAGCTGTTATACTTGAATATGTAATTGTTAGTATTACTAAGGGTAAATGTGTAAAGTGTTAGTTCTGTTAACACTATAAATACCAAGTATATAACTAATTATTTTCAATGAGAAATACAAGTATTTTAGTTAAGAGTTTTCTTCCTCTCTAAGCTTCTTATGTAAGTCTCAATATCGTATCACTTGCCATTTGCCTCCTGACGATTTCGATATGTCCAATTTCTGCTCACACTTTTTGGTTCTCGACAACAATTTCTCTATGTTTCTTTGATTTGCGATCTTGCGAAACTGTATTGTGTGTATAAATGGCTTCTCCATCAGAATCCTTTCACGAGTTGGTGCCAAATCCAGCCCTAATTTCATCTTCCTCAAACCCTAACTTCTCAAATTCGTATACTTCTCTTACGATTTAGAATATTGGCAATATGGTTCCAATCAAGCTGAAACGCTCTAATTATCTTCCATGGCATGCGTTGTTCGCTCCGATTCTTCGCAGCTACAAACTCCTTGGCGTCATTGATGGCACATAACTATGTCCCTCTCCTCTGCTTCTAGATCGTTCAATCAATCCGGCATTTGAGATTTGGTACGAGAATGATCAAAATCTCCTTATTTGGTTAAATTATACACTTTCTGAAGAAATTATTCGGTTTACTGTTGGGGTTTCATCATCTCGAGATACGTGGATCAAATTGGAATAATGATTTGAGGGTGTTTCTGATGCACACATTCATCAATTGAGATCTCGACTTCAATCTCTTCATCAATTGAGAAGTAAAATGGGGTGTGTGGATAGCACACCCCAAATACTATTGGCCCGATGAAATTTTCATGTTCATCGGCCAAACATTTGAGCAATAGTTTTTGCGCGATGAACTTTGTCTGACATAATATTGTTGGGCAAAATCAGAGGTGACAAAATTGTGATTGCCCGGACAAAGTTATTTCGTCTGAAAAAAAGGCTTTTTTGCAGTGTTCATTGTAATTGAACCTTAATCTGTGTATATATTTTTTTTAGCAATGAACGCTACCTGTAGTAAAATAAAAAAAAACTCGGAGTGTTTATATACCTAATTAAATGAGACAAAGACTTATCATTTGTTTTATTATGGTGATCAAGAATTTAACAGCTCGGAGTATTCAATGATGCAGTCAAAACACTGTGGATGTAGAAAAAAATGAACACTAATTTCGACTTCATGAAGGACTTGAAACCCTAATAGGCCATTTTTAGTATATATGGTTCTGCTAATGGAAAGTGAGATCGTGCCTCATGTAGAAAAAGTTATAAATGGAATAAGATTGAACAAAGATTTCAATCCTAAATCAAACTAATAAAATCCAATGGTACGAGAAAAAAACCCAACCGGTAAAAACCTTTAGAAATCCTCTAAGGATGGACTATTATAGGACTAAAAAAGATAAACCCTAAACAAGAATCTACCAAATACTTTTGTCATGTCTTACGCATTCCTTGCTTGAACTCTTTCGAATCGATGATCCTCACGAACAAGCATGTCAGCACACAACTTTCAATATCGATGAAATATAAATACGAATACTAGCCTCTTGTCACACGCCTATGCGTGTGGCAACTGGCTCTTTGATATTTTTTATTTGAAAAAACAAAAACAAAAAAGAAAACAAAATAATAATCTATTAAAAAAAAAATAAAGTTAGATACGGTAGTGGTTTTTTTTTTTTTTTTTTTTTTTTTTTGTGAATTTCTTATTTTACTTGAAAATTTAATGGGAGAAGGCAATTTTGGGCTTATGAATGTTTCACCATTTTTGCCTTCTCCCTTTTATAAATATGAATATGAAATATGAATATGGAAACTAGAAATAAAAGACTTCACAAAAATTACTTTATAATTTTATTTTATTTTTGGAAACACTTTATAATTTTAATTCATCATGAACTCACTAGTGCTTTTGTCAATGTAAATTAAAGGCTTTCAAACTTTTTCTTTTTATTACCAAAAAGAGTAAATTGTAGCAATGATCCATCAACTAAATATTCATTATTATTGGTCCTTCAACTCATCAAAACGTGCAACTATGGTCATTTTCGTCAACTCTGTTAGATCTTCCTTCAAAATAAGTCACGTATCATATACGTGAGGCTGAATCAGAGGGCAAATATGAAAAATAAAATGAGAAAAATTATATCAATGGTCCCTCAACTTAACCCACTTGTAGCAATGATCCTTCAAACATAACTCATTTTGACAGAATTCTGACGAAGTTGGCGAAAAGGACCATAGCTACATGTTTTAACGAGTTGAGTAACCAATGGTAATAGATTTTTAGTTAGAAGACCATTGCTACAATTTACTTTATCAAAAAATAACGTTCCACCAAGAGTAAGAAATAAGAGAATTGATTTTAACGTGGAAAGAGGAAAACAATTTTCTAATTGATTTTTAAGAATTTCATTCCGAATAAAACTCAATTACAAAAATATATTTTTCATAATATGATATCTAGATGCAAATTACCTTGTAGACATTGTCGATCCTTGATTTGCTCAATCTGAATAATTCTTCTACCCTAAATTAATTTGCCTAAAACTAAGCCTGAATCTAAAAAAACATGGACACAATTACAAGTCTAGGAAATTAGCCAATTCCTAAGTAAATTCATGTTTACAGAAAGAGATAAAATTGAAATTATCGTTCTACCAACGCGTTTTTTGAATTGAAATAGGAAAACCCATAGTGACACTACCAACCTTTTTTTTTTCCTTCTTCTTCTTCTTCCTCTTCTTCTTCTTCTTTTTTTTTTTTTTTTTTTTCCTTTCCTTTTCCTTCTTCTTCTTCTTTCGGGTTGGGTTGGGGTTGGTTTTTTTTTTTCCCTTCTTCTTCTTGTTTTTCTTTTGCAAGGTGGGTTGGAGTTGGTTTTTTTTTTTTTTTCCTTCTTCTTCCTCCTCCTTCTTTCTGGGTTGCGGGGGGTCAGGTTTGTGGTGGGGGGAGGGGGGGGGACGAATTGGGTTTGGTTTGGGGATTTTTTTTTTTTTTCTCTCTCTCTTCTTCTTCTTCTTCTTCTTCTTCTTCTTCTTCTTCTTCTTCTTCTTCTTCTTCTTCTTCTTTCTGGGTTACAGGAAGATGGGGAAGAGAGAGAGGAGGGAGGGACGAAAGAAGAGGTTTATTTTTTATGTACTTTTTTTAATTTTTTTAATATTTAAATAAGATAAAATGATTTTTTTGTTTTTAATAATATTTTATTAATTTGTTAATAAAAAATGGGTCCCGGATCAAACTACATCAGCATTTAACTAAGAAATAAACAGCCAAACTAACGGAAGGTATAACATTGACACAATTTCTAAGGATGAGGTATGACATTGTCAATTTTAAAAGATGAGGTATGAAAATGTCGTGACACTATTAGTTGAGGTAGTTTTTTGTACTTTACCCAAATAGTTATCTATTTATTGGATAATCATTAATGATTTAGAATTTGATTGATTTTTGGAAAATTAGATCCTTAAAGTGACAAAAAATGACCATTTGAATCATTATGCAATATTGCACCACGAAAAAGAAAAAAGAAGATAGAACGAAAATATTCAAACTAGCTAAAAAAGTTACTAAGTTTTTCTTAAGCTTAAAAAAAATAAAATAAAATAAAATAAAATAAAATGTTACTAAGTTAACTTCAAAACAATCGGCGGTTGATTACCAACCACCATCGGTGATCTATGAATGAAGCAATAAAGCAATAAAGCAATAAAGCAATAAAGCTTGCTTGTAACAAATTCAGTGTGTACAGTATCATTTGATGGGACATGTTCAAGATTCAAAGCAAGAGTTCAAAGCTATATATATCTATATGCTCAAGTCACAACTAAGTATCTAGACTCGTTTGAAAGTGTTTTTAAAATAACTAAAAATATTTTTTGTAAAATTATTTTTCAAACCAATCGTTAATAAAAATCCAAGTGGATATTGGAAAAGCATATTGTTTTATGCAAGAAGCACGTATCTTATGCTTATTAAAAGACACTTGAATACTTTTGGAACCCAAAATTATTTTTATAGAAAACGCTTTTAGTCATTTTAAAGTACTTCCAATGAGCCCTCAATCATCCAACACGCTTATAATTTTGTTACCCCGAAAAAAAAAAAAACAAGTAGTACTACTATAGGATTGTGGCATTGTGCTGTCAAAACAAGGTGGATGAAATCTGACCCTTAACAAATGGGTAGGTTGGCTTCCTATCTACATAACGCACTAATACAAAGTTTGAACCTTTGTCTCTAACAATTTGGATTTAAGAAAACATAAAAACTGCAGATGTAGGTTGGGTCAATTAGTTGATCAAAGTAGAGCGTTTACCGCCTAAATTCAAGTTCGAATTCCTAATTCCCTTTTAAAATTAAAGTAGTTTAGAGTCAGACTACCTCATTAAGAACCTATGAATTCTCAATGATGTGTCCAATGACAAAGTTGAAGCACGTTAAGAACTCGCTTGAAACTATTTTTGTATAAAATACATAAGCGCTATTAATGTAAGCACGTCAAAATTTTTATGAATGGTTCAAGTGCTTCTTAAAACAAACATTTCGAAGCGCTTACGAAGAAACAACACTCTTTCACATTTTCCCCTAAACATGAGAAGGGCTTTTATGTTGGGTTGTTCATCAAATGAGATTGAGTTGGGCTTTTAGAAGGAGTTTAAGGGCTGGGTCAGAGGCCAATATTTTGGGTCATTGATTGACCAACAGGCTCTCATGAACAAGAAATTTTTTATTATGATCGGAACATGAGTGATACATTACGCATTTCTATATAAACGGTGGAAAATATTATTTTTTTAAATTATTAACTTTTTAACACAGATGTTCTACAATTTATATAATAACATGTGATGTACTACCTCGTATTCCGATTATACTAAAATATCTCTCCTCATTAACAGGTCACTCTTGGGCATAGAATAATTGAAAAACGTTACTTTATTCTGCTCCAGATACGACGTCGCTTCTGTTGGTCTTCGACTCTTCGGCAATTGTTCCATCGAACCTCCGGTTAATCACATGGATCTGTTTGTTTGCTGAGAAAATCGAAGGAAAGTCGCCAAGAAAGTACTGACTGAGAAATTCTTCTGTATTTGTTTGGTAAAGTGATCAAGTAACTCTAATTTCTTTCTCCAAAACCCTTCGATCGAACCCAAAGAAACCACCAAGGGATCATCAGGTTCTCTCTCTCTAAATTGCTTAGAACTTTTGTGGTAATGTTTGTCATAGATACCACTGTATGTATGATCTGGGTATATAAAGGAGTAAATGCGTTGTAATTTTTCTGGGTTTTGCTTGAAATGAATGACGGGTTGTTTTTTTCGTTAATTTTTTTTCATATTTCTTTATGTTTGTGTTGAAGACTAATTCATTTAATTATCCTGGGGTTTTGGTTGTTATGAATGAGGGACTAATGGGTTTTGTTTTGCTTACTTTTGTATGCGAATGCATTCGTTGTTTCATGAATATCTGTGTGCAAAAAGTAATCTTGAACATGGAAGATGCGCACATTGCGAAGGACGTTTCAATGAATGTGTGTTTCAAAAATGTTGGTTTTGTGTTAATCGCATTTGCGTGTGAATGTATGGATATCAGTATGCAGACACACGAAGTGATTCAATAAGCTTTGTCTGAGCATAGACCATAGTGTAGATGTTTCCTGCTGAGTGGATTTTTGTTCAAGTACTTGAGTTGGGTTGGTTTATACTTCTTGTTTTGTGGAAGCGCGTGATGTTTTTTCGTTGTGGAAAAGTCTGCATTGGTTCAATCATCTTGGTGACTTACTTTCTTCCCGATAAATTCCATTTTGCAGAAAAGAGAAGAGATACCATGGATGATAGCTGCGCTGTTTGTGCGGAGCCGCTTCAATGGGTAGCTTATGGGCCCTGTGGCCATCGCGAGGTCTGCTCCACCTGCACTATTCGGCTCCGTTTCATATGTGAAGATTCCCGTTGCTGCATCTGCAAGAGTGAATCTAAGATCATCTTTGTCACGAAGGTTAGGCATTTCCGTTGCTTACCTAGTTTAAATTGCAAAGTGATATGTTTGCTTTGGTTAAATTACAAGGTCCAAGTCACATGTGTTTTCTAGAGTTGAAACTTTTTATATTATGAGATCCAGTTCAAGTACTTCTACCGTTCTACTTCTCCTGTTTTTTGAAAATCTATCTTGCTCCTATGCTTCTTTTCCCTTTTCCAGGCTTTAGGCGACTATACAACGATGATTAATGACTTTTCAGTTTTCCCAGCCAATCCAGTGGAGGGTCAAGTTGGAAAGTATTGGTATCATGAAGGAACACAAGCATTTTTTGATGATCTTGATCACTACAAGATGATAAAGGCCATGTGCAAGCTATCTTGTGGCGTTTGTGATAAGATAAAAGAACAAAAGAGTGAAGGGTCAAAGAGAAAACAGGAGTTTAAAAATGTCGAGCGGCTGAAAAATCATTTGTTCCATTGTCATGGATTGTTCATGTGCAGTCTGTGTTTGGGCGGTAGGAAGGTGAGCTTTACATTTAGATGACTTAGATGACACTATATACGATGACGAATAATTCATATATCTCATATCAGCATTGTTATACTTCCCATTTTTTGGTTATATATCTATTAGGAGTTTATACACTCGTACTCTGATTTAATGGCTAAATTCTTCTCTGATTTGAAGCATGAAGCATTAACCTTGATGCTGATGCTTATTATTTTCACCCTGATGTATCTGACTGTAAGTTGTAATACAGATCTTTATCTGTGAGCAAAAGTTATATACTAAAGCTCAATTGGGTCGGCATACAGAGACAGGTGATTTAGAGGTAGATGGCAATGAGACTGAAAGATGTGGATTTAATGGACATCCTATGTGTGAGTTTTGCAGCAATCCGTTTTATGGAGATAATGAGTTGTACATGCATATGTCCACTGAGCACTATACTTGCCATATATGCCAAAGGTAACCTGTTTCGAGTATTTGAAGGTAATTATTTACTTTAAAAGTTTTAGCAAACTTATATCCACTGCATCTTCAATGCAGGCAACGTCCAGGACAATATGAATACTACAATATCTATGATGACTTGGAGGTCAGTTGTTTTGCATTTCCAACTGATTATTGTCGATGCTTTGAAAGTTCATCATTGAGACTCGCTTCTTAGTTGACATGATAATCTATTTTGCAGAGTCATTTTTCTCAAGCTCATTTCTTATGCAAAGATGACGACTGCTTAACAAAGAAGTTTGTTGTTTTTGCAACTGAATCTGAACTAAAGGTGATATCTTAGTGCATATTACTTGATCTTTTTCCACCTCTTCTGCTTGCCATGTTATGTTGAGGTTTTGCTCACTTGAGTTTCTATCTGCAGAGGCATAATGCCAAGGAACACGGAGGGAACATGTCTCGCTCTAGGCGTAATATTGCTCTTAAGGTTTGTATGTGATATAATCATAAAACTTATGCGACAGTTATAGCGGATAGGTTTATCATTCCATCTTGCTTTTTTTGTTTTGTCCACTCAAGCAGATACCAGTGAACTTCCAGTGTAGAAGTAATGAGACCGATCTTCATGGACCTTATGTTAGAGGACGTGGTTTTCATTTTAATTATGCGGACAATCAACTTTCCGTGGCACTTCAAGCTAGCCATGATACAGCCACTGCAGAAAGGTGCCGTAATGCATCGTCTAGTACACAACAAGCTTCTATTCACCAAGAAACAAGCGAACTTGAAACTGTTGCTGGCCGTTTTGAGGCATTACCTACTGCCGATTTTGAGTCTTCTTCAAGAGAAAATCCCCGGATTGAACTACAAGAAGCATCATCCTTCCCTCCACTTCCAGTGGCTCAAAGAGACAGACAACAGAAATTAAGAAATGGTTCACAAGGATTGGGTGGTAGTTCAATGGCTTCTCGCATTCGTCGCCTTAACAAAGTAACTGTCCTTAATGCTTCTCCAGTTTGGCCTGCAACAAATCGTCAACCTAAATCATCTGCCAGTAGTTCTCACCAGAAAAAGCCCTCTTCAGGCTCTGGGCACATATCATCATCTAGTTCTCCTGTATTTTCCCCAAGCGGTCCCGTTAAGCAAGCTGCAGCCACTGGGTTTGTTTCATCTAATTTTACTAGTCCAAAGAATTCGACTGGAACCAGTAAGGTCACCCAATCTGCTTCAGGTCCAAAAATTATCAATACTGGTTCTTTGGACTCCGATTTTCCTTCTGTTTCTGGTAATCAAACAAATAAAGAACCTGCTACTGCAAGTATTCAGAGAGTGCCAAAGGTTGGAGATGTTCATGTTGTCAACAAGTCTGTTGTGGAAAAAATCCGTGATGCTTTGGAACGTGATGACAGCAAATTCTCCGCATTTAAAGAAATATCTTCAGACTACCGCAAGGATATAATCAATACAGAGGAATATCTTGCTTATGTCTACCAGTTCGGCCTGTCACATTTGCTTCTGGAGCTGGCTAGACTCTGTCCTGATGCTGAGAAACAAAGAGAACTTGTCGAGACTTACAATTTTAATATGAGGAGCAGCAGTACTCATGAAAACAGTTTGTGTAATGGCAGTAGCAAGTCAAGGAGCAGAAGCTCCAAGAAAGGCAAGGAAAGGTGTGAAGATAATGGAATTAAGAGTTCGAAATATGCTCTGCTAGATTTTCCTGTCATCCCTGTGAGGAATTTGCAGTCGAACCATAAACCTCCAGCGGTCTCATTGAAGGACATCGTTCAGTCAGCCAAAGGAAAGTCGAAGATTTCAGTTGATGATGAACTTCCAGAGAATCAAAGGTTGACAGGTCAAAAAGGTTCTCAGTCATCTGGTAGCACCTCAAATAACAATTTGGGGACTGCAGGAGCTGGTACTAAGCAAGGGAAAAAGACTCCAAAGTTTATCAGAAACCGCCTTGGCAACGATGCTACAAAACTCTCTGAACTTGGTGATCGTCCTGAGCCGATTCAAGAAAAAAATGATGGAAACAAGGATCCACCAGAAGGATTGCTAGTGCGTGGAGTTTGGCAAAATGGAGGTGGTCGTAAGCTCGTGAAGATGACCTCGAGGGATGGTAGAAAGTGATGAGTTGTCTGATCCGAGCTAGGATGCATCCGTTTGTAGTTGCAAGGGTTGCCACCAGATGAACTCTCTTTTGTATGAATGTGTTTCTGTGTCATATGCAGTCTGTATGTTTTCTGTAGCGCTAGAACAAAAAACTTGAAGCCGTTAAGGGTGTCGTGACGGGCGATTGTCATTTGGAAGTAGCCTCGAAACAGACGTTTTTTGGTTTGATGAGATGCAAAGGTCTTCCTTTCTCACCATAATGATAATTTAATTTTGAACGCTCCTAAATTATCTGAGTATCGATGGTCACGTGCCTTCAACCATGTGACTTTGTGGTTACCTTCGATCTCACGCATATGTCGTCTAGGCTGGGTTTGTGTGTCTGACTCCGTGCACTCAAGTTCAAATTTTTCTTGCGTAAATTAGAAACTTTCAAACACCGTCTAATCCAAACAAACGGAGGGTCCCTGGTTGGTGGCCGAAATTCAGATTTTAATAAATAAGACTTGTGTCAGCAATTGACAACCATGCGGGGATAGCTCAGTTGGGAGAGCGTCAGACTGAAGATCTGAAGGTCAGGTGTTCGATCCACCTTCACCGCATAAGATTTTTTTTAATTCTTTTTCACTCCCCCTTGTCGATGCATTGTGCATGGGACCTCATACGACAATATCTTGTGTAGTTTTCTTCAAAGCATTTTTTTTTTTTTTTCCCCAATTTAAAAATCCAGAAACCCATTTTCTCAGTTAAAGCAAATTCCTGAACCAACAACAACAATAAAGCTTTATATCACTAAATGAACGGTGGATTTGTGACGTCATGCATGTTAATAGTTTTGCTAAGATTTAAGAAGAATTAGGTTAGTTATTTGTTAATCATCTAAATTAGACCACCCATTATCTAGAAAAAGGATCCGACGAGGATCCTTTTCCCGGAAATTCAAGGGATTCCGTATCGTAACCGTTCATTATACATCATGCGGTTAGAAATTATTTTAAATTTAAAATTCAATATAAATAGTACTTAACAAAAACTTACCGTCCAATGTATGATGAACGATGAGGATCATAGAATCTTTCGAATCCCTAAAAAAAAAATCCGACAGGAATCCTTTTCCGTCCTGCAACACCGGGATCATGGGCTAGGTGGAGATCACTTTTGCATTGCATGACGTGTATACAACGTGGACTCCAATACTTCGACGAATAATGAAAATAAAGCTCAAATAACATAGATTCGGATATATTATTAGTGCCCTTTGTGATTGTGATTAGATGTCTTTTGTTGATTCTTACGCCACTTAGCTAAGTGGTGTGACATTTGGAGGCATTGTTGGTGTGTTTATTAATGCCTCCAAATGTCTTCAAATGTCACACAACACCAACAATGCCTCCAAATATCCACAAATCCTCAATGTCATACTCGTCAAATGTTGTCAAATAAGTGCTTAGTAAGATGTCTCACTAAATTCACTAAATTCAAAAGGGCGAACTGCGACATTTCCTTTAAACAAAAAATTAGAGGTTTTGAGTTCGAAATCCGAAGTTGGTGTGGAAGCCAGACTTGTGGCTAGGGAAAGGCTAAAATGCCTAAGTCTTCCTGGCCCCCGAAAATAGTGAATAACAATACTTTACAACCAATTGTCCCCTTTTTTTTTTTTTTAAAAAAAAAAAAAAAAAAAAAAAAAAAAGTCATACTAGAATTTCAGAAGACATGATTCTTAAAACCGCCATAATGCAACGTGAAAAATGCCTGTTGTTAATGGACAAATATAATAAAGTTAAAAACAATAACATATTATCAATCATGCGTTATAAACAATAACATTTTATCAATCATGCACCATGCAAAGGAGTGTGAACAACTTTATATAATTTTTAGTCATCCACATGTGTCTTAGTGTAATTATCTTTCATAGTATGTATGTATTAAGCGGTTCAAAAAATTAATGGTTAGATTTGGCATGTAAAAATATAATAAATATTTTCAACGTTTAGATATTATATATAACTCGTATCACTTTAGTGTTACGTAGCATTACAGCCGAACTGTGCTATGACTTAAAACCCCAAAAATATAGCAGTTGAGCTTAAATTCACATTCTAGAGTTGGTAAAAGTCCATATACTCCACCAAACCCGCAGTGACGGAAAATAGTAATGCATATGTATTCTAGTGATATTCGATTCTTCCTATTCCTCTTCCCCTAACATTGAACAATTTAACACACTGACGTTATCATTGTAAAAAAGAAAATCAATTTACCAAAATAATAATCTAGCAAAAGAAAAGAAAATGGTGATGGATTTCCATAAATTATGTGCAGACAAAAATATACTGCAAATACAAACTTCCACGAATAAAGGAACAAAACCAAATAGGACGGCCTGTCGCTTTACTCCACCGATTCCCTCCAATCCCAGCCCTTAATCCACCCACATCCAACGGCCATGATCTTCAATCTCCCACGCCATCACCAAAAACAAATCTTAACCGTCAATTCTCATAGAACAAAGAATACGAATAAAAAAAATCAGTAAAAATTGAAAACAAGAGGAATATTATGACTGTAGTCTGTATGTTTAAGCTACCACTACCAGAACACTGTCTATAAATAAAGCCCGGAATTCTCGGATTCAGTGTGGCAAAGATTCGAGCTTTCAAGCACCGAAACACTGGGAACACGCTGAAGCTCAAGACCCAGGACTCAGATTTTCGCTTTTGGTAAGGATGCACTTTTAGAAACCTCAAAAGCTCATGCAAATGCTTTTGCTTTTCTTGTTCTTGAGTAGTATTTTTGCTTGATGATGTAATTCGCTTGCTTTTGTACTGAGTTTGAGTCGTTTGTTGCTTAGTTTGAATCCCGCTTCCCGTAGTTTAGATAAGTTTAAAGTAGAAAATCCTTCTTATTTATAGATTTGGAAGTGGGGTTTTCTTTTTCTTGGAATTTGGGTTACTGGGTTTTTCTTATAATTTTCTTTTGTTGGGTACGTTCAATTTGTGTTTATAATGAAGGTAGTGTTTGGCTAGATTCAATGTATATTGAAGCAAGAAATGAACGTCAACAAATTTACATCAAAAATTACCAAACACTCAACTAGAGTTATCGGACACTGATTTTTCTCTAAAAGCACTTTTACAACTAGAGTTACCAGACACTCAACTGCTTTATTTTACTGTTGTTTATTCTCATGCCACAACACAACAATACTAGTTTCTTCTGTTTTTGTAGCTTTTGCACCGACTTCTTTTACTTGTTACACATTACTGTTAGTATGATTGCTTGGACTGGAAGAATGGTACTTTCAAGCTCTCTGGATCCGAATTCGATCATCCTACAATATGTGGTTAACCGGACAGATTCTCCAATTGATTTAGTTTGATAGCTTTGATTCTTGTTTTTGCAGCTTGTAAGAATGGCAGAGTCAGCAGACACCTTCCTGTTTACTTCCGAGTCTGTGAACGAGGGGCACCCCGATAAGCTCTGTGATCAAATTTCTGATGCAGTGCTAGATGCGTGCCTCGAACAGGATCCCGACAGCAAAGTTGCCTGCGAGTCTTGCACCAAGACGAACATGGTCATGATCTTCGGAGAGATTACAACCAAAGCCAAAGTGGACTACGAAAAGCTTGTGCGCGACACCTGCCGTACAATTGGATTTGTTTCGGACAGTGTTGGTCTTGATGCTGACAACTGCAAGGTCTTGGTTAACATTGAGCAACAGAGCCCTGATATCGCCCAGGGTGTCCATGGCCACCTGACCAAGCGGCCTGAGGAAATTGGCGCAGGAGATCAGGGTCACATGTTTGGTTATGCCACTGATGAGACCACTGAGCTTATGCCTCTGAGCCATGTTCTTGCCACCAACCTTGGTGCCCGTCTCACTGAAGTTCGCAAGAATGGAACCTTGTCGTGGTTGAGACCTGATGGAAAAACACAAGTCACTGTTGAATACTACAATGACCATGGCGCTATGGTTCCAATCCGAGTCCACACGGTTCTCATTTCTACTCAGCATGACGAAACTGTTACTAATGATCAGATTGCTGCTGACCTCAAAGAGCATGTTATCAAGCCTGTTGTTCCTGAGAAGTACCTAGACGACAAGACTATTTTCCATCTTAACCCATCAGGTCGGTTTGTCATTGGTGGACCTCACGGTGATGCTGGCCTCACTGGCCGCAAAATCATCGTTGACACCTACGGTGGCTGGGGAGCCCATGGTGGTGGTGCCTTCTCTGGCAAGGACCCCACCAAGGTAGACAGGAGTGGTGCCTACATTGTTAGACAGGCTGCTAAGAGCATTGTGGCCAATGGTCTTGCTCGCAGGTGCATAGTGCAGGTCTCGTATGCCATTGGTGTTCCCGAGCCATTATCAGTGTTCGTTGACAGTTATGGCACTGGAATGATTCCTGACAAGGAGATTCTTAAACTAGTCAAGGAGAACTTTGATTTCAGGCCGGGAATGATTGCGATTAACCTTGATCTCAAGCGGGGCAGGTATTTGAAAACGGCTGCTTATGGACACTTTGGTAGGGATGACCCTGACTTCTCATGGGAAGTGGTGAAGCCATTGAAGTGGGAAAAGCCCCAAGGGTAGAACAAGTGCTTTTCCTCTCTGCTTGCAGTTTATCAATAATCTGTTTCTTCCAAGCAGCCGAAATCAAGAGTCTTGCTTTTGCTTTTGCTTGTAGACGTCTTTCCCTTAATCTTTCTTTCCACTTCAAATATTTCAATTTGGCATGTTTGTATCAGATTATACAAGATGTTTTGAATTTTGATTCTTGGTGTATGAAAACATGTAGCAAAAAAAGCTGGTTTCTTTTCACGGTTTTGGATCATATACGGATTCCATATTTTACTAATTACATCAGATTCGAATTTTTGTTGCTCCCTGTCGCATCGTTTACTCTGTTTTTTCCTCTTTGGCCGTTCTTTTCCTCTGCGAGAATTGGTTACATGATGTATTTCTCAATTTCTTTCAATACAAATAAGGGAATGGACACCGTAGGCTCTCAGTCGAGAAGCTATCATCGCCTGATCCTCTTTTATTACAAGAAAATTCATATTAGCTTTATAATAAAAATCCGATACATTGACAGCTCTAATTGGTACAGACTGACAGATTTATACATACAAACAGAAGGCATACTAGCTCTACCGATGTGTGACATTTTCAACTGTGGCTAGAGGAGATTCATCACACATTCACCGCCTCTGGAAGTTCAACCGTCCTATGCAGAAGGCGAAAATGGATGCAAAAGCAATCGGAAAAGCAATGAGAACTACCGCCACCAGAGCCAGCTGATCGTGGTGAAACCCGAAGTAATCCTTTAAGAAGGCAGACACAGTTTTGGTTTCGCCAAACACTATAACCTCCTGGTTTATGTCTCCATATTGTGAAGTAAGCAAACCATTCATTGACCAAGATGTAGGAGTCATGTAATACAACCAAATCCACCATTTCGGAATTTGCTGCAGGAAAAACAATTTATCCAAGTCAGCTATTTGGTCGAAAAATATTGAAAAGCAACGTTTATTTTGTATTTGGCGAAGAATGAGTAGGCTTACCGGTTCAGGAATCAGAAAACCAGCAAACAGATTGTACAATGTGTAGAAAACCGAGGAGAGAATTGCAGCTACCAAGTAGTTTGGCGTCAACGACACGAGCATCAATCCCATGTAATTGTAGTACAGGAATGAGCAAAAAATAGCATAAAAGTACCAGAAAACCTTGTATGATGACGCATAGTATCCAATCATTGGATATGTGATGATCGTAAATGTGGCTGCCTGGACAAATAGATAGGGAAATTCAACTGCAACCTGCAATTTTTGAAGACTTGTGTGAACTTGAGGAGTACTACGTTGTACAAACAGTGTTAAGAAAGGTACAAATAAAGTATGTTGTCAGATGTAAGATAAATTCACCTGTGCAAGTGAAAATGCCCACGGAGAATACATCCCTGAAAAATTTTCGCGGTACATGACAGTTCTCTCCGTTGAAACGTGTTGCAAAACGGTTGAGCAGTTATTTATGCCCAAGAATATGACACCGGCGAACATTGAACCAAGTACATTAAACAAGTTTTGCTGGTTGGTTCTAAATGCAGAAATCGAAAATAAAGTAAGAATAAGGTTGGTTAGATATGAGTGAATGAAGGTTCTATACGATTGGACAAAATAACATGATCTGAGGGCTTACAGATTCTGTCCTTGGTTCCAAAATAAGGCCCCGAAAATTAGAGATGTTGCAAGCGTATGCATGATGCGCATCAAGTTGTATGCGGGACTCCTCCAGTAAGTCAAGTTCTGCTTCCAAAGGCAAGACTTGAATTGTCTCCAGCCATTTTGAGAAAATCGGGTAGCGAAATGCAGATCTGTTGAGCCAGGAGGTGGGGTACTCAACTGTCTCACAAGCTCTATATTGTTCCTGCAAATGGGATACTAGGAAATCAGCCGCATTCGAGTTTTCAAAAACAATCACACAAAAATCCGAGTTCAAAAGCCTTGATTTGATCACTCTTTCAAGTGAACTCACTCATGTAAAGAAGATTGTCTGTATATTTGGGCAAAATCAAGTCTAAGTTCAACTTCAGCTGATGTAGAAGTGATATCTAGCATCCATGTTGCTGGATTGTAGTTATCGCGAATCTTTTGAACCCCGGGAATACTCTGCCAGAAGTAATTATATAGAAACAGTTCAGCATACCGAATCTTTGGTATAAGTATTTTGCTTATAGCAACTAGTATTTCAGAAATCAGAGTGCAATTTACGAACCTGAAAATATTCTATAACCCTACTCGAGTGTTGTCCCAACGGTCCAGAGTAGATTATAAGCCCTCCGGTTTTCAATAGAATTAGCTGTATTCAAAGAAAAGAAAACACCGCAACTTATGAAAAAGGTTAAAACCTTATCAAAGAATGATGCTTCTAATATCCAGGTTTTACCTCATCAAATGACTCAAATATATCGATATTCGGTTGGTGGATGGTGCAAACAATTGTTCTTCCTGTATTAGCAACATTCTTCACTGCCCGCATCACTATCGCAGCAGCTCTTGCATCCAAACCAGTCGTAGGTTCATCCATGAAGATTATGGCGGGGTTTGAAACAAGCTCCACAGCAATTGTAAGGCGTTTACGCTGCTCTGTTGACAGACCACTAACACCAGGTATACCAACCAAGGCATCTTTTATTCCATCAAGCTCAATTGTCTCAAGAACTTCATTCACAAACTCCTGTTAGAAATGCCAAAAAAACGTCACACTATTGAAATTAAAACCGAGGATTTGATTTGATATCTAAATGTAATGGCCTTACAGATTTTGTTTTTGAGTCAATCTGCGAAGCCAGACGCAGCCAAGCAGAAAAGATCAAAGATTCTTCTACTGTGATTTGTGGAGAATGTATATCGGTCTGTTCACAGTAACCCAATACCCTAGCAAATGTTTCTTGAACCTTGGGATATCCACCAATCTTTACGTCTCCTTCAATGTAGCCACTAGTCTTTCTGCCTGCAAGAACATCAAGAAGCGTAGTTTTCCCAGCTCCACTCACACCCATCAGTGCTGTAAGGATACCGGGCCTAAACGCTCCTGTAACATCACTCAGAAGCTGGAGCTTTTTCTGATTAAATCCCGGTTCCCTGGTTGTCTGAAACGCAAATACAAGAAAGAAAGAAATTAACGTTAGTAAAAGCTTTTTAATCCTGCAACTATCTGAACCTTGTGCAAATGAACACTTAATATTGTCACCTCAGGAATAACATAGTATTGCACATCTTGGAACACCACCGTCAAGGGAGTGAAAGGTAAGACCATCCTTCCTGTTAATCCCGAAAAAGGCTACTGTAAAAATGTTGTAGAAGTTTCTCTGTAAAATAAGGGAAACAAACACGAATCTGCTAACCGCTCTCAGTTGTTTTAGGAGGATGATTTGTGGACTTCTCCTTCAAATTGGCATCACCAAGGTTGTCATTAGTACTTCGAATTTGAGAGAGCTTTTCGTGTGAAATGATCCCACGAGATGTCCCAGGAGCTGAGTGTGTGCAAAATGGGATGAGTCGAGGTGTTTTTAAGTTCCACTTCTTGCGCTAAAATAGGATAGCGGAAAAATCAAATAACTTACACTTAAAGAAACTCAATGACAAGGTGAATCCGATATTGAAAACTATTGCGAATCCGAACAAGGCACCAAGTGATATCCAGTAGCGATATCCTTCAAAGTTCAGGCCACGGCTTTCAAGTATTTGTCTCCCAATAGTCGTAGTAGAATTTGGGGATAGCATCTGCAGAGGTAAAAAAAACAGAAAGCATCCTGAGGAGCATGAAAATGAGTTAATAGTATTTTTCTTCGATCTTCCATGAAATGAGATGCTCAACCTTTTGCCACCGCGGCGAAAGAAACTCGTTGACAGAGAGGCCTATCTCTCCATATGTCAGGGGAGAAACCCAAAAACCCCACTCTAACCAAACAGGCATGGAAGCTGCAAACAACAATATGACTAATTAAATTTGTTTGTTCAGCTGATTTTTTTCCAAATGAACTGGAGAAACAGGTAAATTAATCTCACGTTTTTGGATAACGAATCCACTAAATAGCATGAGAAACAATAATGCAAAGCTACCGCCTGTCATAGTGGCAACCATAGTCTGAAAGAACGACGCCAGGAAGCGAAACATAGACAATGATGTAAAGTGAACAGCAAAAAGCATCAAGAACTGGCAGAAGAACCTAAAACAAGATCACGTCATCTTAACAACAATCTGAAACCAAACCGAAAACATAAATCAAATAAGCCTTTTAAACTCAAGCTGACCTCTGTGGCTCGGGACTGTATCCAATGACATAATAGGTAAGAGAAGTCCAAACCAGGGATACCACAAGTGAAACAGGAACTTTTAGAAGTGTTGCAGGAACTGCGTAAGCCCAAGCCGGGTAAAAACACAGGTCTCTCTGTTTGTAAAATACTTCTAGTCGCTGAATTGTCATGGACATCTCGGGAATTCCATCAACGACAAGTATTGTGAGAGCATAGAACAAGGACCCCATGTAGTAATTACCATGAGTAACATCAAGACCCATTCTAGTCCTCAAAAACACAGTCATTGTAATAAATGCAATGACGATAAGCTGCAGCGAAAAAATAGTCTTAGCATGTTTTCATAATTCCTAAGTTGAATTGAGAAGTGTAAACGCAAAAGCACAAATGATGACCTGAATTGTTTTGAATATATAGATAAAAGAGTTCCTCCTCATGAGAAGAAGTTCTCTTGATGCGCAAGCTCGAAAGAGTTCCCGTTTTGAAAGAGAATCCACGCTGAAGGAGAGAGCATTCTCATGGTTTTGGGACTTGTCATTTGTCCCTAACAGGTCTTCATCTAGTTTCTTCCCAAAACAAGATGCCTTGAATTTTTCCGAGAACATATCAACGGATACATAGTTGTGAGGTTCGGTGCGGTTCCAATAGTATGACTGATCCTTTTCAGAGATAACCTACAACAGAACCACGATGTTAACTGTTTCTTTAACCTGTAGAAGGATTTCATCATAAGCAAGCTGCAATTCACTTACCTCTTGAATGAAATCCGCAACCCCTTTCCTCTCAGGACACTTAAACCCACAATCCTCAAAAAATTCCAAGACTTGATCGCGTGGACCGTGATAAACAACCTTCCCTTCCGACATTAAAATAAGGTCATCAAAGAGATCAAAGGCCTCCGGTGCTGGCTGAAGAAGCGAAACTAGTAAAGTAGCGTCTGTTATGTGCACCAGCTGCTGAAGACAAGAAACAATCTGGAATGCAGTGGAACTGTCTAGGCCATTTGTTATTTCGTCCATGAACAAAGCTTTTGTGGGACCAACGATCATCTCCGCTACAAAATTAAAATTAACACCCGGTGAGGTAGGTCATCCGAGGCTGGAAGTTAGGACATTGCATAATTTTCTAAAACTATCAGTATTTCTATTTGCATTACCTGTTGTGACTCTCTTCTTTTGACCACCAGAGATGCCTTGTCTCATGGCATCTCCAACCAGCGTGTCAGCACATATATCAAGTCCAAGGATCTGAAAAACCACCATGAACATTGTAAGACGCTGGGAAGCATTTGTGCAGACACAAACTATAGGAAACAAGATTTTAACTCTACCTTCAAAATGTAGTCCGTCTGAAGGGTTCGTTTTAGTCCTTGAACAGAAATTGCCTGTCATAGACTCATAAATTATAAAAACGTCATGATAAACAATAGAGTACATAACCTTGACGAAGAACGAAAAGTGCGAGAAATCAATGATCTCATAAACTTGGAATGAAGAATATCAGAAAGGTTGAAGTACCTTCATGTAGGTATCTACATCTGGATCCGGAATTATTCCTGCCTCCTTCTCCTTTTTACTGACTTCCAGCATTACATCTTTGTGGGCATAAAACCAGATCAACTATCCTTCGTCAATAGGTTGTAGACATTTAACCACATAATAATTATCTTAGGCTCAACAAAATCTTACCAGCTCGGCTTCCAATACCCTGACAGCGGGCTGAAAAATCGAGTGTTTCCCTCACAGTCATTTCGGGAATGTGCACATCGAGTTGGCTTATATAAGCTGATGTTTTCTGGGGGACAAAATCCGATAGTTTGTGTCCATTGTATGTAACTTCGCCTGAGAACTAGCAGGGAAAAAGTCGGACAAAACAAGCAAGTATGAAGTCAGCAAACAAATTTAAGCAGCTCATAACCAAACTCTGAAATTACTGGACTCCATGTTATAATGGTGTCCTGTTGAATCGAATAGTTAAAATAAGAAGATGGCGATTACGAATTCCATATTACAAATTTACAAAGATGCTCCAAGTATAAAAATAAGAGAAACCTTGAGGGATTTGTCCAGATTCCCTGATAGCGCCTTAAGAAGGGAGGTCTTCCCACACCCCGGGGGCCCAAGCAGCAAAGTAAATCTGCAACAGAACCGATTTAGTACGAAGACATGAGAACTTTTGGCTTAGTTGAATTAAATTTAGTAGATGAAAGGATACTAGCTTACCTTCCTGGCTTTATTGTACCACTAATATCTTTAATAATCCTTATCTTGGCCTCGTGTGACTTTGAACCCGGAAACCTGGCAAAGATCTGCACAGAAAAAGTGAGGAAAAAATCGAAAACAGATTCATAAAGTTGACTAGTGAATGGTTAAGTTGTTACTTTTGGACATGATTTAAGTACTTACTGAAAGCATGCTTTTGGCTGAGTTCCAAAGAGTTGGAAGGGGCTTTCCGTGAACCACCTCACACACTGCTTCCACACAAACATTCTTATATCTCACCTCCACGGTAGGCAATTTTACGCCAACCCTACAAAAACAGTTTGGCATGAAGGAAAAATAAACTTCACTTGATCGTCAAGCAAAAGAAGAAAAGGCTTACTTGTCAATCCTGTTTCTAATTTTGCGCAAAAGTCGAAGGTTATCATTTTCAATGTGTTTGATGAGCTTCTCAATGAATAGATGCCGTTCCAGAGCTCGAAGCTTGGTAACATCAACAACTCGCTTTCCTTCACCATCAAACTCGTTTCCCTCATCCTTGTCAAACAAAGATGATTTTAACCGTTCGAATGTTGGCAATCTATTAATGGCTGCCCACTGTTCAGCAAATTGAGCATCCTCCGCATCATCTTTGGCAGAACTCAACGCTGAATTGGCTCGGAAACTGGAGGAATGACTCCGAAAGGATGCCCTAAAGCTTCTTCCGAACTCTTCCAGCTCGATTCTTAGTGACTCTATCTCATCTCTGCCAACCATCTGAGCCATAGTTGTTAGCTTAGAGCAAACTTTGAAGAAAAACTGAGTGGAAGTAAATATACACATAATTACACACACACACACACATATATATATATATATGTATATTATTGATGTCAATCGTGCTTAAACTATGTTGGTAAGAGTAAGGTGATGCATCATTCTTTTTCTTTCTGTCCAAGGAAGTTGAAATTGCTGTTTTTGAATAAACAACATATTACTCCAGAGAGAGAGAGAAAGAGAGAGAGAGAGAGAGAGAGAGAGAGAGAGAGAGAAAGAGAGAGAAAGAGAGAGAGAGAGAGAGAGAACAAGTTGACTAAATGAGGTTTTTTACAAAAATAATCCAGCGGATTAAGAGTTAATCGATGAGCTTAATATAATGAAAAAATTTACAGCTACATATGAATTATGTGATAACAATATTGAGCCCGCTGATTAATTGGAGTCTTAGCATGGAAGAATACTTGGGAAATCAGGAAACAGGTCATACATGGGGGCTTTGATCACTACCCGTTTCGCAAGAAATTAAAAAACCGAAAACTCTGACGAATCCGATTTACTTAACTATGTCAGCAGAAATTTGATGAAACAAAGACAATTTAATTTATATAAAATAAAAACACTGTCTTGCTTGGCAAGAAACACAGCATACAATGTTCTTAACCTTGACGGAGAACACAAAATGTGAGAAATCGATGAGTTCACAACCTTGATGAAAAATCGAACCAGGATGTGTCGTAGAGAATACGGACCTCAAATTCATTCTCAATGACTAGACCACACCGTGATGGTTAGAGACGGTCAGAGTTGAAATACAACTTCTCGGTGCCACCAAGAAGAACACAAGTTTGATACCCATTTTTCCAATATTGCTTTAATTTAATTAATGCCAAATTTGGAATTTGCATGTCTTCGAAGAGAATTAATTTTCACTCCCTATCTCTCCTCTTGCACTCCTCTTTATATTTATCTCTCAAATATTCTTTGATTCGTTCAATCCTAAAGCTACGAACAAAGAGAGGAGTGCAGAAGCCAAAAAGGAGAGTGCGAACATCACTTTCAGTCTCCGAACATTATAAACTAATTCAAAGACAATATTTCAAGAGATTACAGATTATTTAGTTATGGTTTTGAGCTTCTCATGGCTGCAATATTCATAACACATTATAAATGGACAGATGTTTTATTGATTGTCTGGCGACCACAGAAAGCATGGTCACTCACTTTCGAATTTGATATCAAATGTGGAGGATACATGGACGTGCTTTTAATGTTTAAATCTCACCCCTCGATATCGAATTAAACTGTAACTGACCGTGTATCGTTAGTCACCAGGTGACCAAGAGAATGACTCAGAAGCCTTGTTGTCTAAACTAAAAGGGAGCAATTTCATCCACCAAATTTGAAGAGCAAATCTCTGTACATAACAAAGCCCCTATTGTTTTGGGTTCTTCACAAACACCACCACTTCCATACACAATACATTTCTCCATCTACAAAAAATAATAAAACCAAAGAGAAAAAAGGAGGGGGGGAAAAGGGAGGATCATCTCTCTTCCCCATTAATCCCTTCTACCACATATGTCCTAACAGCATCAGCTCAGAGTCTCAGACAGACAAACCCAAGAATTTACGTGTAGAGAAAAAAAAAATTAAGAATTACCCTCACTTTCTATATTTCCGACATCCTTAAACGAATCACTGCGTTATTACGTCCGTTGGTAGCCTTTGCTCTCTGATCTTGATCCCGGATAGTCACTCCGATCAGTGTCTGAATTTTCACGCTGGGAATCAATGTCCACACTACCTCCTTCAGTTCTTCGGTGCCTTCGATCCTGAACATTAAGAATAAAAATTGTGTTCAGAAGACAGGTGAAAATCATCTCTTTGTATAAAAGTTAACGAAGCCTGCATCCTGTGAGGACTGAAAACAAAATGGACAAGACGATGGGAGAACAGAATGTAATGCGTGGGGAGGGATTTTGATAGAATATTGAGGGATTAAAACGCACGAGAAGGTTAAATCTTTTGCAGGGGAAAATGTTTTGGTCCTTTGAATCGAAATTCAATTCGGGAGACAGCTAAAAAGCTCTACATTTACAGACGTAACAGGGACATGTAAGAGGCAATGTGGTTAGAAAATGGAATCAGATATTTCCTTCCGGGATTCAAATGCAGTCGAGCCAGACCAGAAGTTGCCGGTTCATTCTCTTTCTAACAGACATAATTTCAAGTTAATATCCAACAGAAATTGTGTTTTAGAGATGGAATGAAAATCCAACCTCTCTTGGTATAGGATATTCCTCGGACTCAAGCATACGGACAACTTGGCTCATCTTGGGTCTTTTTTCAGAATCTGGATCAACACACCTCAAAGCAGTCAAGAGGGCTCGTTTTAGGGCTCTTGTCGATGGTCTCACCTCAATGTTTGGGTCTACCACTTCTTCGGATCTTCTGGTTCCAACCATCATTTTTAGCCAATCAACCAGATTTACCTGTCAAACAAAATTCCAGAAATTCATTCAGCAAAATGAAATGGTGATCAAAGGATGGACATTGCAACTTGCCATTTCTGTCTGTGGAGTATCGAAGTCCAATGTAAACCCTACCAGATTACTCCTCAGGTAAGCTCAGCAGTTAGTCATATAAGTACATGAAAGCCTTGGTTTTTACAAATCCAGAACCAAGCTAAGTATATTAGTAGGAAAAAACAGAACCAAAGCGATTCAGAAGGGTAAATTTTAGGGAGGGCCTATGTTGGACTAGACAATCTGCGCACTCCTAAGTATATTTAGACTGTATATTGTCTGTTGACTGTTGTCATTCACTGTGTAATATGTGTTTTCAAAAGACATTCACTACTTAGTACAAGCAATAAATCCAACTTGCATCAAGCACTTATGATTCTACGCTGACAAAAATGTGGTATCTTAGGATGGTTAGAGTGCATACCTCATGAGCAGGGCGACCATAGTCCACAGGGTCTCTTCCAGTAATTGCTTCTAAGAGCAAAACCCCAAAGCTATATACATCGCTCTTTTCATTCAAAAGTCCGGTATTAGCATATTCAGGAGCCACATACCTGAAATTTTTTGGTAACAGGGACAATGATTACACGAGAAATAATTAATCATCAGCATCAGTTATCAATTTATTCTGAACATCTAAAACTGAGAGGCACAACATATTTTAGGGCCAAAACAAACCATGCTCAAGAAAGAATACTAACCCGAAGGTTCCCATAACACGCGTTGTCACATGACTAGTTCCTGCACCCAGCAGCTTGGCCAGCCCAAAATCAGATACCTTGGAATTGAAGTCTTCATCAATCAATATATTGCTTGACTTAATGTCTCGGTGTATCACTTTTGGTTCAATGGCCTCATGTAAATAGGCAAGACTGCAACAAGCATATCTCATTAAGTGACACTAGGAAACCTGGAAAAAAGAAAGTAATTATGTAGGTGATTTGACTTACGCTTTTGCGGTCCCAAGGAGAACCTTTATGCGGGCTTCCCAAGTGAGATATCCATGGTGACGCATTGCTCCGTGAAGCCACTGCTCCAGGTTTCCATTGTTGACATACTCGTAGACCAAAATCCTGAAATTTTGAAATGCAAATGAGACCAGTTATTATAGTTCAGCTGCTACTTCACCCGTACTAGGCTATTATATGCTCATACACTTCTCAAATACCAAAGCCACAAAAAACAATTCAAAAGAAAATGGTACCTATGAGTCCCTTCAACGCAGTATCCCAAGAGGCGAACCAAATTCTTGTGGCGCACATGGCCAATTGCTTCAACTTCCACCCTGAATTCTTTCTCGGCTTGGCCTCTAAAGACAATATAACAGATTCAGAGAAGTTCATGGAACCAAGAAAGGTGAATGGAGAAACCAAAATAGAGTCAAGATACAGTCATATTTAAACTCACAGGTTGTTTAGGATCCTTTTAACGGCCACTGGAGTCCCATTGATGAGATGTCCCCGGTAAACAACTCCATATCCACCCTCACCAAGGACATTATCCTTTGCAAACCGGTTTGTTGCAAGCTCCAGGTCCCTTAATGTAAACCAGTGGCCCCAACCCAAATGTGAGAATTCAGGCAGGCCAACCAGAGGAGACGGTGCAGTTATTGGATACGATGAGGAAGCCTTATACACAGTAACCGTGCTGGAACTCCCTTCTTCTCCAGAATGGGACAGGACACCATCATTTTCTAGACGATTAAACGAACCTGACTGGCTGCTATTTTCTCCATTATTTGATTTTCCCATATCCAAATGGACCATGATCTTATCGGATTCTCTGTCACTAGATTTGTCGTGAATGGTGAGAAGAATTCCATCACGAGGAGCAAACTCCCTAGCAGATACTTGCTCCACCCGCACTTCCTTAATCTCTTTCGAGACAGTTGGGATTTGACTAAGGGGTATCCTGTCACGAGCTTTCCTCGATTTCTTACGCCAAGTAAGACACATTGATAGCACAGTAAGGATAACAACGATAAACAATGCAACAGCAATTCCAATTACTTCCCAGACTTTTAGATTAAAGATGGGAGTTTCCTTGGATAACTCTGATTTGAGATCAGAGGCCATTCTATCAGCTACCAACAAGCCTACACATACACAGCAGAATCTCACATTAAAATTTCTTCTGATTCATCATTCATATCCCTCTAAAAAAAATTCTAAATCAGTTCTTTCAATCCATTGCAGCATCCAGAGATTAATAAAATACAAAGCTACTATATTTTTTCACCAATTCCACAAATATATACACACATATGAACACATATATAAACGCAATAAAGTAGAGAACTTTGAAATGCTACCAGCTTAAATTTCACTTCAATCATTTTACCAACATAAACAACAATTCACAAGTAATTGTAAATTCACTCACTTACCACTCTGAGATGGAACTCAAAAGAGCAATCTTGAAAAGCCAGATCTTTGAAACCCCTTCAGCATTCTTTATCCTAAAACAAGGCACAATTCCAGATCTCTAACCAGAATTAAGAAAAACCCAGAAACATACACCAATAAAACCTCTCAAGAAACCCAAAAGATCCCACTTTTCAATAAAATTAATTAAAAAAAACAAATATAAGCAGTAAACTCAAATCCCTTTGTGGGTTTTCACTGTGGGGCAAATGTGTTTCTGAATCTAAGTTGGGATGGAGCTTTCAGGCACCAAAACTAATCCATCTCAAAAACCCTCACCCATAAAAAACCAAAAAACTCCTGTGCCTACCAAAAATTACAGGGTCATGGAAAAAAAAGTGATCTCTGTGAGTGGATGGGGATATAAGAAGAAGGGGTGGAGTTGTCAGTGGTAGGTCAGGTGGTGGGTTTTTAAGACCCACTCACTGCTGAGAGTTTCCTTACAAACAGTAAAAGGGATGCATGGAATTCTGTGATGTTTAAAGGTACTGAGATTTTCCTGATTTGTTTGTGAAACATGACTGATTGGAATTTACCAGTCATTTACTTTATTAAATTGTTTTTTTTTTTTTTCATTATTAATGTATTTTTTTAAAATAATTTATTGCTGTATTTGTGTCTGTATTCACACTCACAGCTCTGAAAGTGCTCTGCTTTTTTGTTATATTTATTGTCATTTTGTAATAAAAAAGGTTTTTTTTTTTTTTTAATTATAAACTTTATACTGTCGAATCTCAACCGTTTACTTGGTCAAGTCTGAGTTCGTAGGTTACAAACTTTTGTATGGAACTGTTAGGATATCTTACATGCAAGTCTCAGCAATTACTGAATCTTGGAATGTCAAAGCCATCTGTCAACAGTTGTCTTCATCCTTATCACATAAAACCCAGTAGTCTTCATGAACTAATTAGCAGAAAATTGCTATCAGATTAGTCCTATAAACTGTGGATCATTAGTGCAACTACTTGTTTTGTCTGTAATTTTCTATGGATTTTGATTCCCCTAAGAAAGTAATTATAATTATCTAGAACGAGGTTGTATATCTCTTTATGTCTGATTTTCTTCTCACGTGACGAGTCATATGAGGAGACAAACAAACATTATTAAAAGCATACCACACGTTCCATGTGTTCAATTGACATTTTGATGGTCGAAACAAAACCAAATTGTGTATTACGAATTTGTAGTTTAGATAGTTCAGTCGGTTTGATGTCCACCCCTAATAAACGCAATGCAATTGATGGTCTAATATCTTTAATCATAATTTTGAGAAATTCTTGCCAAAAGATTAAGAAAAAGAAAAGGTGCTCATGAAATTTGGGTATAAATCTTGATGTTTGTTAAAAATGGTTCAATGAGCCAGATCACGGACTGAAGTACTAATGTAACACTATGAACCAAGAGAGGAAAGGGATAGGTCACCAGAAAAAATTGGTTCACCAATAAATACTGAATCAAGTGAAGTATAAGAAAGAAAAATGTAATATCCAAAAAGGGTATAATTTGAAGGGAAATGATAAATACACACATTTTTTAGCCGTTTATGCACTTCTGTTAAATCTCGGTCTTTGATTCTGTTTAAATTATTAGTTAGAAATAAAGAGAGATGTGTGAAAATCACTTCCTTTAAACCCAAAACACCAAAATACTATTCTTTTTCCACATGATATGGCAATTTTTTAATTAGAACAGTAGAATACTATTAAAACTAGTATAATATACTATTAAAACGATGGAACTGTTGTTACATCATATGGGTTTTAGTAAAGTCTTCTATATCCAACAAAAAAAGAGAGGGTAAAGTCTTTTATTTGTTTGAAGCTTGTATATATTATAAATTTTGTAGCAATCCTCTTGCCTTTAAAAAAAATTAAATAAATAAACTTTCAAATTGCTCTGAGTAGGAGAAAGGTAAGTTGCTTTGGCAGTTGATGTAGTTTGGCTGCAGTTTTTCTCCCATGTGCACTTGGGTCTTGCGCATGACTCAAATAGCGATGCTAGCAATGCAGACAACGATAGTGCAATTAAATATCAACAGTTACAATAACAATGTTTATGGTTAGTACATACTATATCGTATTTGGCAAATATTGTTAACACGACGTTGATCTGTAAACTATTTATTTTTCAAATTTTCTAATTGAGTTTAGATTACCAGAAATAATTTATAAACTGATTTCAGATAAAGAAAAATAAAAATATCTGTGACATATTCAGGTGACATAACTATGAAACATAAAGTATGGGACATGCTATAGATTTAGAAACGATCATTTAGTTAAATACAAAACAAATTCAATGATTTATTGATTTATATTACACAGGTATCCTATCTGGCATAAGCTGTCCACTTATTGGTAGTTTAATTTCCTTCCAACCTGATCTCAGTTTTTATATTAAAACTATACATTAATTTGGGACCATTAGATTTTTTTTTTTCTTTTAACATGGCTAGCATAGATCATATTGATATATGTACACCAAATTGTTTTGTTTTTTGTTGTCTTTACACCATAGGGACCATTAGGTATTAATTCATATATGTATTGGGTGGGTTGGTTGGGTTGGATTTCAATCCATGTACAACTCAATAGACTCAGGTTGACGTTATAAAAATTCATTTTCACGTAAGAAAATGGACAAATCAACTCTCCCAAAACATTTTAAGGCGGGTTGGGTTGGGCAGGTTCAACAGGTTGAGATTATTTACTTTCATTCTTATTCCTGAAGTGAGTTTGGGTGACAAATAATCCAAAACACATAATATAAACTTAAATCTTGTGGTTTGGTGTTTTGGAGTCACTATTTGTTCCTTAAGTTAAATTTCATCATTTAACTAAAGTATAAATAAACAAGTGTGTACAATAATTATTAAATTTTGTGTATGTGTGTATAGAATTGTTGATATTCGGGTGGCTCGGTTTCAATCGGGTTAATAATATTTTAACCTAACTCAACCCACCTATTGGATGGGTGAGTCGGTTTCAATCAGGTTAATAATGTTTCAACCTAACTCAACCCACGTATTGGACTGATGAATTATTTTCAATCAGGTTAATAATACTTTAACCCAACTTAATTCACCTATTGATCGGGTGGTTGGGTTTCTACTCGAAAACAGATTTTTAAAGTTTACAACCCAATCCAACCTAACTACTTTCAGTTGGATTGGTCCGTAAACCCACTGAATTAATTTAATAATTTGTAACCAAAATTTTGAATCTGTTCACCTCATCTCTCTACATCAAGTTATCAGCTCAACTTCTTTGATATCTCACTTTTGCGATGAAATCCATCACTCTTGCTGAGGCATACTACATTTACATGCATAAGGACTCCCAAATTAATTTCAAATTGATCAATCAAATTTATAAAAATATGTTAATTTCTCTAAATTATTTTTGTGATAGAGAAGCTATATTCTATATTAAATTCATCTAAAATTACGTAAAAAAAAAAAGGGTGGAACTCAGGTGCAAAGAGAGAAACACTGCCTTAATCAACTTAATTACATCCTAATCTACATTTTTCTTAATTTGTTTTTAAGAACAATAATTGTCTGCCCTCCCACTTTCGTTGTCCTCCTGTACTCTCTTGTTTGTGTGGTCACGGTTAAGACACGTCAATATTTTATATTACTATTCATTTTTGTCTTATTATCTCTATAAAAAACAATATAAAATGTTGATATAGCTTAACCGTGACTACGCAAAACAGGAGGACACGGGAGGGCAAACAATCCTTGTCCTATTTTTAATTGCAAATCCGTAGTCGAGCCCTACACGTAGCTACCAAAGTTAGGTCAACATCCACATGTCCACTCATATAAACATAGAAGTAGAATATTGGTACGTGCTTTTATTTAGGCATTATGGTTCCATCAAATTATATGAAGTCTTAATTCATCGAGCTACCATAACATTTCAGTGTCGATCGACATCTCGACCCTGTCTGAATAATTGTTTGTAGGAAACTTGGCAAAAGAAGCCATCTGAAGCGATATATTTGGATTGTGCAGTTGTATACGTATATTTTCATTTGTTAGGTGGATGCATGGTTATCTGTAATTTAGGTTTGCCCCAACTAATATAACGGTGGACAGTGGCGAAGCTACATAGGTGCGAAGGGGGGCGGCCGTCAAGCAAAGGTAGGAGTAAGGCTTGAACCGCTCTAGTTTAGCCGGAATCTGGGAACCACGATGGCTCGTGGTTCAAATCTGGGAATTGCGAGCTTGCAGGTTCTTTTTTTTTTAGTTTTTAAATCCAGACCAAAACTAAGTCGTTTTGGGCCTGATAAAAAAAAGTTAATTTTTGTTTGGTAAACGAAGTCGTTTTGCATTAATCAAATAAAAAATATATAAAGAGGGAGGGACCACTGGTCCCCATCTCAATCCTCCCACCGGTTTCAATTATTACCCCCACCCTTGCCCATAAATTACAAATCCATCCCCCCATCTTTATTCCCAGATTTCAATTTTCAAAATTGTCTCAAATCCCAGAATTGAACACAAGAAAGCCATGTTCCGTTGCCCACCAAGCTCTAGACACCACGCCAGCAACTCTAATTGAGGTAAATTAATTTTTTTTTTTTTTTTAATTTATGGTTATCGATTATAGATTATTCATATGAATACTATGATTATTGATTTTTTTTTTTTTGAAGTACATAAAAGAGGATTCATACATTATATATATTATAGGAACTTGAATCACACATGGTCTAGTAATAAAAATTGATTGCAGTAACCGCTATAAACCCTAATCAACTTACTCAATTTTTAATTGTGGTTTAGAATAAAAATTGAATTCTTGATTATTCATATGATTTTTAGTATTGATTAATTAATTCGTGATTTGATTAGATATTACCCTATAGTCTACTCTAGGATTAAGAGTCTAAGATTTTTTTTTTCTTTCGTTATACAATTACGTCATGGAACGATACTATAAGAAAAAGTGCTTAAATCCTTCTCCAATTATCGTGAAGCAATTCGTAGATACTACCTCCAAAATGATCTGTTAACCTAAATCTCACAAAATGAACCGGGAGGTGTGAAAGTTATATGTTAGTGTATAAGCTTCTTACATTGGCTTTGGTGTTATCAGTTGCAACCTGCTTCGGTGAAGAGATTTTTTTCTGCTATGAAGATTGTGAAAACATTATTGTGTAACAAAATAGGAGATTAATGGTTGAGTGATAATATGGTTGTTTACATTGAGAGAGATGTATTTGCTTTTACTGATAAGCCTATTATGCGACGTTTTCATGACATGAAACCTCGCTGACAACAACTATAATTTATTTGTATTGATTAATTGTGGAAGACATTACTATATAAAAAGATTCGCTTGTTGACATTTTTCTTTAACCTTGCACACATATAAATTCGCCCCTCCCTCCGAGAATTCTTGACTTCGCCACTGACGGTGGAATTATATTTACTTACTTTTTTTTTGGCAACATATTTGATTTTATTTGGTTCATTGTCGTGTAGGCATGAATTACAT